CTGTGGGCTACACAGGTCTCTAGACAGTCATTCAGTCATTCACTACAGTACAGTCATACGGGCCTTCAACAAGCCTTTCCCGACACTGAGCTCAAGTGGACACAGCTTCCTGTTTGAAGTGCTTGGGGAAGTTTTAAAGAATCATTTACTCAGAGCGCCCCTCTCCTCCACTCAGTCACACTTTTGCCAAACTCTGCCTCAAGTCATTACTCCTCATGTAAACCTTAGCTGAAATGTCTGCTGAAGCCTCAAGCTGGCAAACAGATCTGTTTCAACTATTCTCCTGTTTTTTGTGAGTTAATGGTTATTTAGCAGAATGACTAATTCCCTGGTCAGTGCATGAAGTGGGCAGAGTGACATGGTTCTGCTTCGTTTAAAAGTCACAGCTGTGTGATTATTGGGCTTCTTCTTACTCTGCCCCCTCCAGGCTTTGCTGTTTTGGGGATTTTGAAATGGCTCAAGGTCTCTGATAAGCCAGTGCTCTAATGTTTTAAAGCTTCTAATTTATCAGCTTTGCTTGTGATTGTACAAACATGTGGGTTTAGTATTGCATTTCTATTAGGCTACTTTACATAGTCACATGTACAGTATATGCTTCTTAATGGCAGATGGCCATCAAGGGAGCACCTCTTTGTCTTGCTTTTTCGGAAAAGCAGAGATGACCATTACTGGTATGACAGTGTGTTTTGAATGGGGACCTGATGTATAATGTCCAGTGTGCATTTATTTCAGAATGACAAAACCCTTTTCACAGTGGAAAAACAAGATATTCTGTATTATATTGACTGACGAATTGAAATGAAAAGCTTTTTTTTTAAATCAAACTCAGGGCCATGGAGTCTATAAGACATTAGAATTTATCAAACAGCAAGGATCCTATTAAAATATGATATTTGGTAGCACTTTTTGGAAGTTGACTCGGGGTGCCTTTGCTTCTGTTACTCTTTTTTAATATTTAATATTGATACATGCTTACATACTTCAAAAATAAGTTTGCGGTACTATTCATAGGGACTGATTGTGAAATTTATCTGAATTCATGTGGTCTGAGTTCCCCTGAAATGTTCAGGTGTGTTTCAAGTTGAGCATTTACAAGAACTTTTTCAGTATTTTTCTCAATATGCAGAGGAGAATAAGATGCATGTGAGTTTCACATCTTTCTCTTTTTGTTTGCCTCCATAACTTTGTAATTCCCAGGGCCTGAGAGGAGAAATAGTGGTAGAGGACGTTGTGGGATTAAAAGTTGCATGTTTGGCTGGGCTCTGTGGAGACGTACTGAAGCCTATCAGCTGGTGTTTTCAACCATGTATTTATGAGACTAGAACAGGAGTTGCCATGGGAACTAGCATTACCCCTCAGGAGTAGCTCCAGTGAATGTACAGTAGCTTGTCCATGAGAAATGCTTCTGCTGGGTTTTCCTGTGAGGCAAAACAATGGGATCTGTTGAATTAAGCTGATCATGCCTGCAAGACCTGCCACTCTCCTTTGATTGCATGTATGTGAAATTTAGATATACACGAATAAGCACCAGGTGTGTGTATGTGTGTATATATATATAGTATTTTTCTTTTCTTTCTTACTCAATCACTCACGTCCCAGTAACACCCCTCCTCTCAGTTCTAGCTCTTTAGTCAATGAGAAAGTGAACTCCAGTGCTGTTTCTTGACAACTGCTTTTTATGTCCCACTCAAAGACATACTTTGTCTGAAGGGGAAACTCCAATATTGCTTGACCTGCTTTCTGCAGTGAAAGATCCTGTCTGGTTAGAGGGCAGGCAATACTCGGGGCACTGCTTCATTGTACACTCAACTGTGCTCTTAAGTCACTGACAGTCAAACTTGACTCTAGTCATTCTTGGAAGACAATTCAGCTACTTTGCCTTTGTGATACCTGCTGTACTTTATAAAATAAAGCACATTCTGTTATCTAATCTGCCACTACGGTTCTGCTTAGACACCGCCGCTGTAAATATTAGTGTTGTTTAGTTTGCATATTTCCTTTGTTCCCAATTTGTATTGATATTCCCATTTCCTGGTGTGCAATTTTAAATCCATTGCTTTTCTGAAGAGGCAACTATGAATGACATTGACAGTGGAGCCACAGTTTTGTTCCTCTGATTCTGTCCAGATTAGTTGACAACTATTAAATGTACAAATTGACTGTGCAAAGTCATTCATTCTCCTTTGAGAATTAATTTTAACTTTGTCACTTTTTTTCTAATGCTACCACGAGGCTGACAGTTGTGGGTTTAAGTCAAGAAACTGAATGAATTTGCTGAAAACATTTCTCCTGTGCATAGATGTGTGCCCTACGCAGAACTCTGTCTGTCTGCTATGTCTTCTACATGTATGACACTGCTTTTTCATCCTGAGATATTTGTGTCTTTTGTTTTTTTTTCAGTTTTGAACCTGTCGCATGTTTGAAACGTTATCAACACGCCCACTTGCTGGCTGTGACAATTTATTAGGGCACTCAAATTCATGCAAATGATAATTTCTCTTTTCACTTGTGTAGTAATTTACCCACCATTTGCAATAAATTGTTCATAAGGCTGCAGTCTTTGGTCTGTGGGAGTAACATGATGCTCTGCTAATTCCTCATCAAACCACACAATGTCAGACGCGTAGCTGAAACTGCAGTGACTATGACTATTGAGTATTGAGAGAAATGGAGGTATGAGTGCTTAAGATCTTGAACTGGGTTGTAGAAGACCTTGCGCAGCCTGTGCAAGCAATTTTCCTCCCCTATGACTTGGTCTTTTGGCATTTATGCACATGTGAATATGCATTGTCACCGTGACACAATATTGAAGGAGTGAAATCAGTTTACCCTACTCTTGTGTTAAGCTGAGTTGAGCCATACAGCCCTCATCTGGTCACTGTGAGCCACTCTACTTACCCACACTGTCAGTCAGGCCTCTGTGGTAACCACTGCCCAAAACACTGCAGTGCACAACTGTGCTGACAACAGAGACTTTTAGGATAATGCCTTGACCATAATTAGGCCCAGAGTTAAGTCTACATCTGTATATAGTGTAGATAACACAGAGTTATGCAACTTCCACATTGCTTCATCATCAAAACTCTATGTGTTCAGTCCGTTCTGCCTCGAAGTGCCCCAGTGGGAAATAAATACAAAATTTTCTCATGTTTAAATAGATGAAGTCCCCTCAAACGATTGGAATGTCAAGGTCAATTCCTTTTTTATTTTTACAAGACAAGACATTTGGACATAAGATCAAAAGATAAATATGAGAGTTCAGAATTTTAGCTTTTATTTGCTGGTATTTCTTGTACTGATTGTCCAAAATGGAAAGTGGTGGGTTTACTTATGCAAGGTTATGAAAAGGATATCCTGGGTATGTTGAACACAGCTTCGTAATACAGATCATTCACAAGACCAATACGAAGATCTGATCATGGGTGAAAGACAAGTGATTTCGAAGCAGGAAAAAAGAGGCCAAGTTGGTAACTGGACCTTAACCTGACAGTAGGCTGGACGATATGACTCGTCATAATCTTTGTCACGATCATTTATTTTACCTTGATTACGATCAATGAATGATTATGTATGTCCTCAGTTGTTAAACACATCTAGATATGAAATAGCATTAAATAAAAGCTGAAATGTCTAACTTTTGTTCCATATTCTTCTTTCGATTTAAAACCCAAATGTCTTCAGTGTGCAACAGTAACAATTGGCATTGCTGTTCCAATACTTCAGAGTCGACTGTATATGCAGAAGATCGGAGCGTTGTACTATTTTAATATCATAAAAGGTCATTCAGCAGTTCATAAACCAGGAGTTGACAACATGTGGAAGAATGACTAGTTCAGCTGAGCAGCCTTTGTTGGTTAAAAACAGACTGTGGTTGGTAGTCAGTTCTGGACCATTGTTTGGGGTCATGATGATGCAGATTCCTTCAAAGTCTATTTTGTCAGGAGCAGGGTGTAGGTGGACAGATCAGGGGCCTCACTTATAAAACAGTGCCTAGGATTCATACTAAAAATCTATGTGCGCGAGAGATTTTATAAAACCATGCACACGCAAACCTGAAAGCAATTCTAAATCACACTCCACCTAGAGACATTCACAGACAGTGTTAGAAGATATTAATAAAAACGATTAATGACTCTGCTCTGAAAGTGGTGTGGAATCTGATTGTAATTTGCTGTAAGTTGTTTTTAAAAAAAATTTAATTTAAGGTTCTTATAGAACAGTTATTATGCGTGAGCACAAATAACAATGTTGGTTTTAATGTTAATGATGAAGTGGATCAATAATCTGGCCTCAGTTCACCACCTCATGCTGCATAGTAATTTTTCTAATGTTTGCACGCGTGGGTCAGAGTTAGTGAACAAGTGCACATTTTCAAGTTTGTTTTTATAGATCCCAACGTTTACATGAGAAGTGGCGTACGCATCTTTCATGTTCCGTTTTTTGTGTATGCAATGGTTATAAATGAGGCCCCAGGTCAGTTATAATTACCACAGAAATATGAGGAATACAAAAAAGCCTAAATATATTCAAGACAGAGTTATGCTTTTTTTTGTTACCCTTTGGAAACAACTTAGCATCCTCAGGTCCATTTATTTCACTTACATTTTGTTTAATTAGAGCAGCAGAAAAAGTACATGACTACATTATACTGTTGTTGTATTTTTAATTGATTCATGAGAAGGTGGGTAACAACTTGTCATTATTATTATTATGCTATTGTGGTGTGATGTTTTTCAAATAAAAACATGTTTGAATTTATTAATCATACTAATTTTTTTTTGTTTCACAGCATATTCTATATTTTACCAATTTCTCTGCACACAAGAGTTCTCACCACATCTCAATCTAGTTTTACTGCTCTTTTATAACATAACAAGTGAAATAACTTTGTGCTAAAGTGGTAAGAAAACTTTTCATACTGTCGGCAATGTGGCATATCCACTTCTGAACCGTTTTCATTTGCCGGCTAACCTCCTGTGTCTTCTTGTCCTCCTCCTCAGGTACTGGAGAGAGCGGCAAGAGCACTTTCATCAAGCAGATGAGAATAATCCACGGGTCAGGCTACACAGACGAGGACAAGAAGGGCTTCACCAAACTGGTGTACCAGAACATCTTCACCTCCATGCAGGCCATGATCCGCGCAACCGAGACCCTTAAGATCCCATTCAAGTATGAACAGAATAAGGTGTGTACGGTCAAGTGCTGGGATTAAGATATTGTTGTGTGATGTAATATTGGAGCAGATGTACATCTTAATGCTTGTAGTTTTAGCAGTAGTGTGAGAAATGAGGAATGAATGTATGAAAGAAATTGTACAATAAATCTTTAATAATTCTCTGCAACACTACAGGCTGTGCAAATTAAAACATCTATAGGCATTCCAATTTTAAGATGCAACTTAAATCACTGACATGATTTAATGGGAACTCCTGGATGTATAAAGCCTTTTGTGGCTCCAGAGGAGATTGTATAAGATCTGATAATTACCTCAGGGATAACACTTAAGTTGGTGGGTCATTTAGGTACCAGGTTTTGACTGGAAAATGGTTTAATGGGATTCTATATATCCATCCAATCCTTTTTGAAATTATTTTTGTCTGTTGTGAGACTTTTTCTGGATTGACTCAAAATTGAATGGTCTAACATCAACTAAGCGATTTAAGAGCTGTCATAATGCATGGTGATGAATAATTGCCATTAAGCTATGTGTTATGTAGGTTGGTTGGATGAATCAACTCTAACCTGCATGTTTAATTTACATTTCACCCATTCAGCAGACTCTTATCCTTGAATTGTCACTGGTGCACAGTTAGAAGTTTGGCCACTCTATGTCTTAGTGTGGATTCTTAGTCAGTCTCCTATGAAATGTTTGGCTACAGTTGTCATTACCAGTAATCATTGCCCAGTCCAACGCCCGTGTGTTCAGTTAATCTGATGCAAACCATATTTAAATAAATCATAAACCTAGTAAAATAAGATGTAAAGTGAATGGAGCTGTCATTCCCCAGTTAACTATGGCCACTACACTATATTTGAACGAAAGGGACATTTTAAAAGTAGTGATGTACATTTTATTGAACAGGGTTACTGCTTAAATAAATTATACTTCCTTTTATTTTTAATACATACAATACATACAAAGAAATGGCCTGTCTTGTAAACTTTTTGGATTTTCATATATTTTGTACACATTTTTACAGAATCATGCCCTGCTGGTGCGTGACGTGGACGTGGAAAAGGTGTCGTCATTCGATCAGCCGTACATCGGTGCGATAAAGATGCTGTGGACCGACCCTGGCATCCAGGAGGCCTATGATCGCAGGAGAGAGTACCAGCTCTCTGACTCTACCAAATAGTACGTCTGTGATGAATGGCTGATTATTTACTTTAAGTCTTTTTTAGACGTTTTTTATGGGTTAGACTCAAGCAGGGGAAGTGAAAAGGATTCAGGCAGATGGAAAGTCAGGGAAAAGGAAGAAGTCTTGGTAGGTTTATAAATGACTAGAAAATATATTTCAGCTAATTACAACCAACTCTAATCAATTTCTGACTTAAATGACTCTTTAAAAAGTTGAACACTGGGTAAGAATTCAAGCTCATGCATAGTAGTATAGTATTTTTATGAGCTGCTGCTGGCTAAACGCATATTCATTTTTGACAGAAAGGAATTTTTTGTGTGTCTGAACTTCATGAATGTGCATGTGGTCTTGTATTGTTGAGACTGGTTGTTTGCCGACATGTGTATCTCTGTCATATGTTCCCTCCCCCTCCACAGTTACCTTAGTGATATAGAGCGAATAGCAACACCAGGGTTCGTGCCCACCCAGCAGGACGTGCTGCGGGTTCGAGTGCCCACCACTGGCATCATTGAGTACCCATTTGACCTGGAGACTGTTATTTTCAGGTACTGGTTGGCTCGCTGCCTGTTGCCAGTCAGTTGGAAACCGTCGATGCCGCTATCCACATCTACCCTGTGCTGCACAGCAGGGCTCAGCACTGTAACACATCCCTGATGGTGCACTCTCTAAGACTGGCCCCAAGACTCACCAGAAAGTCACTAGTCTGTGTGTACGCCCAGGGTGTCACAGTTGGCCTCTTGGGGGCTAAATTCTCATTTTAGAGTTATAGTTCCTGCATCCTTTAAACTTACAAACCTTCATTAACCTGCACTATGAGAGAAAGCAGAGGATTGGTTTAGTCTTTTGGAGCTGCCATCATGGATGAAGCTACATTTCTAAGAAAGAATTTGCGGGGTGGTGGTAAGAATTGTCACCTCTCCCCCTCTTAGCTCTTGGGAATGTTTTTTTTCTCCCCTTTGGTTACCTCTTGACTGTTCCACTTGCTTTTGGAGGGGGTGTGCTGTATCTGCTGTTATGCTTCACTTTCCTCCCTTCCTGTCTTTTGTTATCCTTCCTGTCTTTAGCTATCTAAGTGATCTGGATCGTATTGCTGAACCATTCTATCTACCAACCCAACAAGACGTGCTTAGGGTTCGAATCCCAACCACTGGGATCATAGAATACCCCTTCGACTTGCAAAGCATCATTTTCAGGTAGAAGAATAACACTACTTTACTAACCCCAGTTATGTACCCTGCAAGTGCTTTTCTATCATTTAAAAACCCAAACTGCCCACTAAAGTCTGACTCAACATGTCTGTGTGTCCTACAACATGTTTCATGTCCCTGTTTGCGCATTTATACCCAATATGTCTCTAATTTATTATGTTATTCATAGTACGTTTAATGTGTTACAGTAGATTATACTGAAGCTGAAATTAGATTAGTAATTTGGATCATTGACTGAAAATCAAACAATTTTAAAGGCATAAACGTTTAAAGTTTAAGTTCTGGGTGATTTTGCGACACATGGTTACTATGGTAACAGCTTGTGTGGTGTAGTTCTCCAGCTAAACGTTCTCAGCGCAGCTGCTTAGACAGAAATACAACAGAGAACAGGATTTGGTGTGTTAATAAAGAATTGCGACGACAATCTGATATCATGCTGTGCACAGCATAGTGAGTTTTCCACACGTTTGCTACATTTCTGAGAAGATGGAGGTGTGCAGCCTGTCGCCTGCAGTTTTTCATCACAGCTCACTGTGGCTGCTGCTTCGTGTTCCTCTATGGGCAAGAATTAATATACAGCCCCCTGAAAACAAAGATGCTGAAAAATGACCATTCAATTGTTTTAAGTTACCTGTGAATCCTCTTCACAGTAAGGCCACCCTACTTTTAAATCAGTTGCAGGCTTTTAATGTGAAGCTATAGAAGTAAAATATTTAGCGTTGACATTCATTAAAAACAGCTCAGAACAGAGTTAACAGTGAGGTTGTTGCATGCATCATATCCTAGAATCCATCATGCATAGGCAGGCAGTAGAATCCAAAAAGAAACTTTAAGCAATCCTAAAACTGAAATTTACATTGTGTCAAGTGTCACAATCTTTATATATATATATCTTATGTGGGGTTTGGACTGCTAGTTGGATAAAAAGAGTAATCTGGGGACATTACCACACTCCCATCTTCACTCTTATTTTGCATGTGTAGAAACTATAATGCTCATAAAGGGCAGCATTTTACCATAATATGACCAGTTTCTGTTTCTCCCAGAGACAGTCGTCAGGACTTGCCATAGAGGCTATCATGCAACCTGCCACCAATACGCAGAGCAGCTTCCCTTCCTCCTGCTTTTGGTAAAAAGAGAGAACATGCAGAGATAGAGATCCAGGGAAAAAGAGCGTTTACAGAAGAGTGCAAATCAATAGGATGCCATCATGTCAGCCTGCTCCTACGCTTTGCAAGGCTCAAAATAACTCTGCTTGCAATGACGTGCTGAAGAGGTTCCCAGCAGCCCTGTTGTAGTTGGTGATGGGCTCTGCTCAACGGTGCTGCTGATGGTGAATCACTATATGGTGTCAATTACATCAATTTTATGTTGAGAGACCAAAAATACAAAAGTGAAGTGAAGATGATATGAGGTGTCAGGCTTTATTGAAAAGAACTTTATTGTTGTGGTTTCTTATTTTAGTGAATCATAAGTATGTGTTGTCATGTACTTGTAATTAAACATGGAGCACAGTCGCTCAGCCCAGCATGTGGATGGTAACGAGCACATGTGGGATTAAACTGCTTGTGCTTGCAGCTGATGGGGCAGTAGCCACAACAAGGAAGCCTTTCATAGACAAACATCTCCATTAGGCGTGCTTGCTTCTCTTTTAATTGGCTTTTGAAGTCACAGAAAATGTCATTTTACTTGGCTTATCCAACATAGGAGAGCTTATCGTACTAAGTAGGTCACTCATCCTTGCTAGAGGGGAAAAAAGGAGGTCGTCTGATGTGAAGGAGTTTTATTTTAGGCTGGCTCTTCTTCTCGAGGACCCCATTTATCAATGCCCTCCCTTCCTCTGGCCGACTCAGTGACTGAGTTCACCTTTGTGATGTGTGATCACATTTTCACTCTGTAGCTCTATAATGATATTGAGTAGTTGGTGGAATTGTCTCTAGAACTGAGACTTAAACAGAACCAACGAGGAGTGTAACTGTTTTAATTAGTGTCAATGGACATATCAAACAAACTGACCCCTCTTCTATTCTTATGTCACAGAATTAGGTCTTCACTATAATTTCATTTCATTAATTGTCTTAATTTCGGTAATTTAAGGGTGAAACTTGTATAACTGAAAAGAACATTTAAAACAGAAAACTAGATTGTCCATGAGTCGATCCAGGTCTCCTATGTGTATCGAGCCTTCCAAGCCCTTGTTTTAATTTCCTCACATTCTTTCTCCGTTTCCTCCCTGATTTCTCAATTCTTTTATGTGCCATTTCCCCTCAGAATTTTTTCCTCCAACTATTACTTTTTCTTTCCGCCTACCTTTTATCTATTGATTCTCTCATATTCCTCACTCTTTTAAACAGAGTAATATTTTGCAGATATACTTTCTATCTCCTGCATGGACTCTCCAGCATTTTCTTTGGAGAGAAGGAAGATGATGACATTGTTTGCACACACATTTACCTCCTTGTAGTTACTTTGATTCACCTAAGAGAACGTTTGCTCTGTTCTTGCTTCAGATTCTTCTTTCTTTTCTTTTTCTATTCTCAGTGCAAAAAGAGCGTTTGGCTTGAACTGCACTAGACTCATTAGATATTATGTTCAAGTAGTCTTTTGTCTCTCAGACTATACTGGACTTGAAAGTTATCACTTGGCCAACACTGAATACAGACCTTAGTGTAACAAAGTGAACATTTTGGCCCCAACATCTAGAAGATGAATGCCTCTTTGCACTGATGGATTTTCTACTGGAAAATCAAACTCCAGTCCTGAAGTGACCCAGATTCTTGGCTTGTCCTTGGCTGAATTACTTCAGGGTTTCCTTTCTCATGGCTCCGTTGCCAACTACAAAATTTGAATTAAGAGTGAAAATGTCATTTTTAATTTAGATTTAAGTGTACATAAATATGATATTCAAGTTGGATTTTTGATCCAAGGTAGGAATGTTCATCATAATGCATGCTCACCTTATCGTTTGACAACTAAAAAATCATGCTCAAAAGTGCTAATTGTAATTTCTTGTTTTATGTTACTCTTTCGGTCGTTTGTTTGGTGGCCCTCCATCTCATCCCACCATGCTCCTATCAGGATGGTGGATGTGGGGGGTCAGAGGTCAGAGAGGAGGAAGTGGATCCACTGCTTTGAGAATGTCACCTCCATCATGTTCCTGGTGGCGCTCAGCGAGTACGACCAAGTCCTGGTGGAGTCTGACAACGAGGTGAGACAGAGATGCAGAAATAACTCGATTTCACAACATTTTGAAGCAGCACATTCACACAACCCTGTCTAGTTGTATATGTTAACACAAGAGGATTACACTGTAGTTTGAAAATGAATCAGCTGCCATAACTTTAAACATAACTCCTTTACCTTCTCGAACTGCCTGTTGAATGTTGTACAGCTGAAGCTGGTTGTTCCATCTTAATTTGCAAACATACATGTTAATTGTCCAAGAAAACTAGACACATTCAAATTTGCATTATTAATAATGTTCTTTCGGTTGTATATAGGGATCAGTATGCCTTTTCCATCTTTGATAGATTTGTTTCTGGAATTATGAATCAGATGACAACATGTAATCTCCATCTGAAGGTCCATTAGTGAAAATGACTCCATCAATTCAAGTCTGTTGCAGCAATATTGGTTTAAGATAGAATAATCCTTTACACTTCAGTGATATAAAACTACTTAAAGTGACTCACATCTACTACAATGGGCCTGCTTAGGTTTGATGCCTTATTGAAAACACAAGGACTAGAATATGTTCTCATTATGCCTCCAGACAGGCACTGTTTTCAAATTGTCCATCCATCTGTCCCATTCTTGTGAACACCATATCTCAAGAATGCCTTGAGAGAAGTTCTTCAAATTTGGTACAAACATTTATTTGGACTCAAGGATGAACTGATTCAATTTTGGTGATCAAAGGTCACTGTGACCTAGGAAAGCAAATGTTTTGGCTTGTGATCGATTAACATATAGAATAATATAGAATTCTACATTTAGTTGGACCAAAGGGCAAAAGGTCATGGTGACTTCATATGAATCTGGAAAAAACATTTATGTATATGGACACTGCACTGGTTGAGGTATTGCAGTATTTGTAGTTGTTTTCAGCTTGGTAGTTTTACTTTCCATGCTTGTGTGTACGATCACAGGTTGTACTTCACACTAGAATATTTTCATGCCATTGTTCCACTGTATTTCTAAATGGGTGACAGCAAAGACAAGGCTCCGCACCGTTAACTGGGATTATCCTGATGTGCTGACAAGCTCAAGACCGAGACTTTGACCAGTCAGAGCCTGATGAGATTGCTTTCAAACATCTTTGATTTCATCGGGTCAAGTCTGGCCAGGATCATGTTACGAGTCGCCAAGACTGATCCGCAGGAGTGATGCTGGCAAGGAGTTAAAATCAGGAAGAGGAAGAAGAGTCACATTTAACAGCAGCTCTCAGCTTTAAGTAGTTTACATGAGCAGCTGTCCAGCTCCACTTGTTTCACTTTTTATGTTTGCTAGACAGTTTTATTTCAAGTGACGGGTCTTACATTAGGAACACGTCTGGATAAGTTAACATAACAGGAAAAGTCTCATGTCATTCTCTGCATTGTTTTGACAAACCTGAGTGTTTCCAACTGCTTCTCATCTCTTACTGTTCACTGTAATTCTTCCAGCTGCCCAACAATGATGCTATCCAGTTCCATCAATCACAGAGCTAAAGAAAAAGCTTGAAAAAAGAATATGAGGCCTCTCAGATTTTAAAAAGTTGTGGATGCTGAATGTAACCTGACGTTGTTTCTATTCCTCTGCTCATCTCCGTCAGAATCGTATGGAGGAGAGTAAAGCTCTGTTCAGGACCATCATCACATATCCCTGGTTCCAAAACTCTTCTGTCATCCTCTTCCTCAACAAGAAGGACCTGCTGGAGGAGAAGATCATGTACTCTCACCTGGTTGACTACTTCCCAGAGTTTGATGGTATTTTAACATTTGCTTTATTTGACATCATAGCATTATGAACTTCACATGAGCTGCCTGTCCTGTAAAGGTTGTATAATGTAGGACCATGTTGTTTGCTCAGTAGTGAATTCACTTCCAGGATTTATTTCATTAATTATCCATACAGGTGGTGGGTTTAATAATGGTTCAAACTCTGGCTGTAACTCTGAAGCTGAGTAGTATTTTTCAGTCTGTTTCCAGACGAAGCCTTTTAACAGAACTCAACTTTTATGAACATCAAACATTCTGGTTTCTGTCATAACACTGATACTGGCCGTGCTCCAACCGTTTCAGTATCAACATCTGCTCTTAAGGGTTGAATTTTCTTTTCAATCTCTCAAACTAAAACTTTATCACCCATATCTTTGATTGTAGGCTGACACCTTGTGGTTACAAGGCTGTACTACAACACAACCTGACATTCAGCTTTAAGTGCGTGTGTTTTTAGCTTATGACCCTATAAAATGCCTATAAAATTCATGTATTACCTGGGGAGAAACGGTTACAAATGTGTTTTTTTAAAAGAACTTTCTGGATCCACTCCTTTGTGTTATCCACCTCAAAATTGTCAGTCTTGCTGAAGCCAGAGGATTCTCTCTTGGCCCACATCCATCTTCTCAAAGTTTCGTGGAAATCCATTCAGTAGTTTTTGTGTAATCCTGCTGACATACAAACAAACTGACATGGGTGAAAACTTACCCCCTTTGTGAGAGGTAATAAAGATTCAATTAGGCAAATATGCTAAAATGATATCCTCCATTGTTCTCCCAGGTCCTCAACGGGACGCCCAGGCGGGTCGTGAGTTCATCTTGAAGATGTTTGTGGACTTAAACCCAGACAGTGACAAGATCATCTACTCCCATTTCACATGCGCCACTGACACAGAGAACATCCGCTTCGTCTTCGCAGCCGTCAAAGACACCATCCTGCAGCTCAACCTCAAAGAGTACAACCTGGTGTGAAGGAGAAATGTAAAGAGAAAGAATTGAGAGCAAAAGAGAAACCTGCAGCCCTCCCAATACACAACAACATACACGCATACTAAAACGCACTCAGACACACTAAAGCAGAGTCCACTTCTAGAAACACACTGAGGTTCAAAGAGATGAGTATTGCTTTATACTCGACCAACACTACTCCTCAGTTCTGTTTTATCATTCTATGAATTGCTCCTTCTGCACAAACACACATGAAACACACTCAAATACAACACTCCCTCCACGTGTCCCTCTCTCTTCGGGGGTAGTCGTTGGTCCACTCCGGGGCTCCTCTTGCTCCTCTTTTGGCCCCTGGCGAGGCTCACATTTATTTCTTTAACACTACATCATCACCAGTGCTTGTGTGTATGACGTGGGTAGAGGGCCTTCTCTGGGCAGAGCAAGCTTTCATGGACAAAGGGCTCTCTCCTCTTCTTCTTATTTAACCCATGCATGCTATACACTACAGAATGAGGGCATGAAGGTCCGGCTGCAGACCCTGCACTCCGCTCCCCTGTAAAGGGTAACTAATTATGACCATAGGAATATATTATCAGGCAGTGCTGGGGTGCAGTGAGGTACTTGGTTCCCCGTGGGTCATTAATTGTGTAGTTGAATTTTTCTATTTGTTAACCCTGCCCTAAACCAGAGCACAGGCGCTCTGTTGAATGTAAATAACATTTTTGTGCTGCTCACACTAAGGTGAGGGGTAGACAGAGATGACTACACGCTCTCTGTCCACTTTCAATATTTTCAGCTATTTCTTGGGTATATTATTGCTACTAATGTCAAAGTTGAAATTGTAGATGGTTACACAAAGTGAACACAACCCTGCAGAGCGTCACCTGTTCTTATACACTGCTCCTCATTGTGAAGTGTTAACGTACGTCATGAAACAAAAGATTGAGAAACACTTCCAAGTATTTACACTCTGAGTATCGACTCCTATGTTATTTTGTATTGCGTTGCCAAATTCAACCGCATATATTTGTTCTGTAAATATGATTACATTACCAGTATCCTGTTCATCCCCTGGTTCAGATACAAACAAAAACCTTGAGGACCTGGCTTTGACAAAATGAAATACAAATTCTCTCTCATGCCGGATCCTTCAGATGTTGACGGCTTAACAACTCACTTTGTGTGGCATTTCCTTTATGTTGACAGTTGTCTGAATCACACATGTATTAGTACTGTGATTTCTATTTCTTTGTTTCCTCTTTAATGGTGAGAATAATCTTCCTGTGCACAACGTGTGAATGATGACACATTAGTCCAGTGCAATAGTTGGTTGTAGATGAAATAAAAGCTTTTGCGCTGCCAGTTCAGCTTCAGTCACGAGTCTCGATCATCTAAACGACTCGTCTCTAATCAACGTTATTTTGCCATATTATTCAGCCAACATTTGATAAACTGTAACCGATAGCAAGAGAGTAGATGGTTCTTTTTTGTATTGTCTAATTTATCAATCAGATCTGCGTATTGTTGACAGTAAATGAGACTTCCTCCTTAGTTTCAGCGCAACATTTTTCCAACCTTGGAGATGGGAGGAGATTTTATACTGCTGTAAAATATCAAAACTATTTTATGGACAAGTGTTCTATCTTTCTAATGATACTTCATATATTTAGTTGTCGGAGTTCTGTTTTGAAATGCTTGACAATGGGAAAAAAAACACTGTTTCCATGTTGGGTTTATGCTTTATGCAAATAGGAAAATGAAAACAGACAAAAAACTTAGTGGTTGAATATTTACTGTTCGAGGATGCTTGCATTTTCTTTGTAATTTTAGGGATATGTGTTGCTCTTGGTACCAATCCCATATCGTGTCTCTTGCCTGATAGTTGTTTAAATATTCCATTAAGCTGAAAGTTGATAGATGGCTATTTTTGTCTTCACAATGTAATTCAGGTAAGTTTTCATAACTTTTTCATCACAAGGGCTACTACTAGCAGCTTTGGTAGAAATGAGAAGGACTCTATGGACGGAGTAGAGCGAACGGTGAAATTAATTAAAGGGGGGGGGGTGTTGACATCCTACTGAGGATGAAGGTCGCAGGTTCAGTGAGGGAGGAATGCAGCAGTCCACAGATGCCTACGCGACATTCCCGAGGGAAGTGTGGCGGCTGTTTGGCTCTTTGTTCGCCATCTCTTTTTTTTTTTTTGCCTTTCAGAAGAGGACGATAGCTAACGTCAAAGGAAGTGGGGTTTTTTCCCCGAAGGTGCAAGAGCACATTGTTAGCATCCTAACTGTCCTGCACCTAAACCTTTTCTTTTGCTCTTGTCACAGATTGTGTGCTGATCGTCTTGGCTTTACAATAATTTCTGTTATGTGGTTATGCATATTTGTTTTATCTTCTCATTGGTAGTGTTTCCATGCTTGACATCATCTGTGTTGGACTCAGAAAAAACGAGTCAGACTAAACTTCTAAGAAAAACGGACTTAGATGAAATTGTTTGCCAAATGTTACTTCAAATTTTCTTGTACATTTTCCAAAAGAAAGATATTTTTCTTTTGTCAGACGACCTTGCCAGAGTACACTTTGCACCTCTCATGTAAATGTGCACATTATGTTGATGATGCCTTTGTCTTGTATATTTATGTCCACATTTTTTCTTGAGGATTTTTTCAGGATGAAGCTTCACAAACACTTATTTTATCTTGCAGTTCACTTTTGGTTCGAAATTAAGAGCTTATGTATTTTGATATATGAATGAATAAACTGACATACTTGAGGTGAGACTTAGGCTAATATGGTCATGTCTATTTAAAAATCTTACCTTTGCTTTTAGAGATCACACTCGATTCCCCTGAACTGTGGTTTAACACCTTGAAATCTGATGTGTGATCCCTTACACTTTATATTATGTAGATTATTTGATGTTTAGCTAATTGGATTGAATACACTTCTGCCAGGATAAAAATGAAAGCGCATTTGCAAAAACTTTGTTTTTTCACTTTCAACATGTGAACTTGATGCCTCGTCTGGTTTATTATGGCACAGGGACGAACACAGAGAAAGTCAAATGGCAAACACCACCAGTGATTAGAGCCGCAGCAGAGCTGGGTCATGTATCTAAAACCTTTTGCATTCGTGTGTACCGTATTTGCTTTATCCGCATTGAATGCAAGTTGGAACATTTTTTTTTACGACAATCTAGTACAAAACACCGTGCCAAGCAGAATCAATCAGCAACAGAAAAGATATCAAAAACTACACCTTTGTAATAACTTGACCCAGATCTGTGGTGAAAACTGGTCTCCATCCACTTGTGCATTTATATATTTTTTTTTTTTCCAAATGAAGCTTGTGTGTTAAGCCTCAGTATTAATGTATTTATTGAAACACTTGCCAAGTGAAGGTACTGAAATGGCCATTATAATATTTTTGGGTGGTTATAATAACGAGTGAGTGAATATGCCGCGTGTTTACATGTCTGCCATTCTCCGCTCCGCTGTTTTTTTTTTTTTCCTCCCTTACTTGATTGGACTGTGTATTCTTTCCCTGGGTCGAAGGCACTGAAACTGCACCACTGCAATGGGCCTGCATTCATGCAACTTAGACGTCCTTTCAAACGCGCTTGTTGGTACTCTAAGGTGTGTATGTTTGTGTGTACACTTTTGATGGCTATTGCTTATGCTTGAGATCCATTCTGGTTAGAGGGATGGACATACAGTGATATTAGCTATCTTTGCATATATTTTTTTTTCTCTTTTGTAAGGTTGACACACCTTAACACGTGTATTTAGGACCACTTAAGATGACAGACTTTTTTAAGAGTTAAACTTTGTGTAGTGGTGTACAAATTGAAGTTAATGTAAATTTTTGTTTGATTTTTTTTTTCTTTCTTTTTTCTTTTTTTAATTTTTTTAAGTATACCAAATGTAAATTATGTACAATGAGTGTGCCAATCCCCTTTCTTTGTAAAGCCAGACTCTTAACAAGTGCCAATGTTGTGAAAAATCAAGAGGGCCTGTGAATTTCATGGTCCAGTTTTTAAAACGAATAAACACTAAGTATGTGATTAATTAACAAAAAAAGGACAATTTTATTCTATATTTAAGATTAATGATGAACTGCTGTTTTTAAGATAAATGTCATTTTAACTGCATGTGTTTGCCAGGTTGGGGAGGGAGTGGGTGGGTGAGATACTGTATTCATGCAACACCCTCATGAAAAGGGTCCTAATGGTTATTGATTTACAGTATTTTAGCCATATTTCTCTTTTTGTATGTTTCATTTCAACCACTGTTGCCTGAACCTCATTCAGACATGAAAATGATTTTCATAGCCTTCTCCTTTAAATGTTTTAAATTGGAATAAAATATGTTCCTATACTCTCTTATTGCATCCCTGTACACTTCCTTTTTCTGACATGTTGGGACTAAAGCACCAAATTTGCCCCAAATACATGTTCCATACTACAGATCATATATATTAAAAATAAGTGCTGGCATTTTTCACAGCATACAGTAATGCTTTACATTTACATCAGTAATGTAAGGTAAGCTACTGTTGATACATATTTATTTACCTTTCAGTCAGCAGCTGATTTGCCTTGCTAGCACTTCCTGCCTCCTTGTATGTGAATGTGGACGTTTGATGGAGTCATCACAGACAGGATCAGTATCATGAAAGGGAAGAACATCAAGCAATTTCATCTTAAAATTATTTCTCTTATTTTTATAAAGGTGAATCAGCATTGACAGCATTTTATATTTAAAGATTTTACTATTGACTATTTTGAAATATGTTTTGTGAGCAAGTGATGTGATGCAACCATGATCATCTTGGTAATGTTTGTTTTGTCAAGTCTTCAGCATCATGGCAACATATCAAGAACAGACCAATAGCTTCAATAAAGAGAAACCAGGGCTATAAATGCATCTGGAATGTAGCCACTGAAGACTCTTAGGTGCTTGGTGAGGTTTCAAGGAATTGGTGGAGGATT